TCACGCTATTTCTCAAAGCTCGACCTGAGAGCTGGTTATCATCAAATTCGACTCCATAAGGCTGACATTCCAAAGACAGCATTTCGTACGCATCAGGGGCACTATGAGTATTTGGTTATGCCATTCGGATTGTGCAACGCCCCATCCACTTTCCAGTTTGCTATGAATTCCATCTTCAAGGAATATTTGCGTAAGTTCGTTTTGGTATTCTTTGATGATATCCTGATTTATTCAAAGACGTGGGCTGAACATCTTGAGCACTTGAGAGTGGTGGTCGAAATCTTGGAGACCAACTCAAAGTGTTCATTCGGGCAGAAGATGGTTGAGTATTTGGGGCATTTCATATCCCACGAGGGCGTGAAGGTTGATCCATGAAAGATTGAGGCTATGATCGATTGGCCTAAGCCGACAAGTCTCACACAGCTGAGGGGATTTCTAGGACTCACGGGCTACTATAGAAAGTTCGTGAAGGATTACGGAACCATCGCCAAGCCACTGACGGAGATGACTAAGAAAGGCGGATTCACCTGGACCGAAGCCAGCGAGGAGGCGTTTGGGAAACTGAAAGTAGCCATGACTACAACGCCAGTGCTCGCCATGCCGAGGTTTGATGTCTTGTTCGAGGTACACATAAATGCGAGTGACATTGGGATTGGAGTTGTGCTAGTGCAAGAAGGACGACCGTTAGCCTATCTCAGCAAGGCACTAGGCACAACTCGACTAGGTCTATCTGTGTACGTGAAGGAGATGTTGGCAGTTGTCGAGGCTGTAAGGTGTTGGAGGCCTTATCTATTAGGGTGACGATTTCGGATTGTGACCGACCAGCAGTCGCTCAATCATCTACTCGAGCAAAGGATTGTTAACCCCGAGCAGCAGAAGTTCGTGTCGAAACTTATGGGGTTTGACTTTGAGTTAGTCTACCGGCCAGGCCGACAGAATGCAGTAGCTGATGCACTATCCAGACGGACTGATGTAGCTGAGCTTAGTGCTATCACTGGACCGGCTTGGACTATTTGGGAAGAAGTCAGGAAGGCGCAAGAGGAAGACACCTATTGCCAGGAGTTGCGCCAAACAATCGAAGCAGGTAAAACGACTGTTGTTGATTATGAGTTGCACAATGGTCTGCTTCTACACCGAGGCCGAGTATTCGTTCCCGACAGTGGACAGTTACGCGAGCAAATCATGCAGCACTTCCACGATTCTAAGATTGGAGGCCACTCGGGTATCTACCGCACATGGATGAGAGTAGCCAATACTTTCTTCTGGCCAGGGCAGCAGAATACCGTCCGAGATTACATAGCATAGTGCGACAATTGTCAACTCACTAAGGTGACTCACGACGGCCGAGCGGGTTGCTGCAACCTCTACCGGTACCCGAGGCAATCTGGGAAGACATTACTATGGATTTCATAGAAGGGTTACCGAGTTCTAATGGATTCAACGGTGTTATGATCGTGGTGGATCGTCTCACAAAGTATGCCCACTTTATACCCATCACTCATCCTTACACCGCAAAATCGATTGTCAGGTTATTTGTGGAGTACGTGATGAAACTGCATGGGGCACCACTATCCATTTTTTCTGATCGAGACCGGATATTTATGAGCAGCTTTTGGTTTGAATTATTTAAGTTACAAGGGACCAAGTTATCTATGAGCTCAGCCTACCACCCACAGACAGACGGACAAACTGAGGTAACCAACCGAACTCTTGAGCAGTACTTAAGGTGCTACATCCATCAATTTCTGAAAAGGTGGGAAAACTTTTTGCTTTGGGCTGAGTATTGGTACAACACCACTTACCACGAATCGACCAAGATGACACCGTTTGAGCTGGTATACGGGCGAAAACCCCCGACGTTGATCAACGTTTCGGAAGGGAGTACAGTCAACGATGAGGTTGGTCGAGAACTTGAGGAACGAGATCTGATGTTGCGAGAATTAAAGAAAAATCTCGAAGGCTCGATTAACCGAATCAAAGCCTTCGCTGATGGTAAGAGGCGCGAAGAGAACTTTACACCGGGAGAGTATGTTTACCTAAAGCTACGACCATTCCGACAGCGCACAACAGCACAAAGGGCAGCGACTAAGCTTGGAGTTCGCTACTATGGACCTTATCAGATTCTGAAGCGCATTGGTCAGGTAGCTTATCGCCTAGAATTGCCAGAAAGTTCTCAGATCCACCCGGTTATCCATGTCTCACAACTCAAGAGGATTTTAGGAGAAGCGCAGAAGTATTGTGAGGAGTTACCAGCAACCCCAGCTGATGGTAGGGTCATAGTACGCCCAAAACGAGCGATTGAGTACCGTAAGGTAAGGAAAGCAGGACGCTATCGTTGGGAAGTACTAGTTGACTGGGAAGAGTTGCTATCTGAAGAAGCCACTTGGGAAGATCTTGATGAGATGCGCGATCAATTCTCGAATTTCATCCTTGAGGACAAGGACTCACTTGAAGGGGACGGGAATGATGCGGAAGTGGCTAGGCAGCTTAAGAACGCCGCGAGTCGAGCCTATCATGCACGCAAGAGGCAAGCACAGGCACGGAACGGGCGAGGATAGACCACACGCGGATGTACGGGCGGTGCGCACGGATGGCGTGTGTGGCGAAGGTGGGCAGGACGCGCAGGCCGCAGTGCTGGCCAACGCGCTCGTGGAAGGCCCGCGCGGTGGGGAAGCACGCGCACGTGAGTCCTCATGCCTCAAGGCGTGCGGAATGGTGGGGTGGCACGCGCGCGAGGAAGCAGCCAGGGACGAAGGCACGCGCGATACGATGGATGGGAGAGCACGCGCGATACGCGAGGCCGTACTCCTAGAGGAATGCAGAGTGGCGGGCGAACATGCGCCTAAGGACGGCGCGAGGGAAAATGGCATGCGCAGCATGCCGGGCGCCACTGCACGCGCGCGCTGAGGCGGCGCGCCCTAGTGCCGCGAGGACTAGGCGACGCGGGCGGTTGGGCGTGGGATAAGGCGGCCGAGAGCATAGAGAGAGATCCCTTGGAGTTCAAGTCAAGTTATTTAGTTTCCATCTTGCACAATGATATCTAGCTTAATTAGGATACTTAATATTTTATTGTTTATTTAGTTTCCTAGGTAGATTAGACTTAGACAAATCTTGTGCCTATATAAAGGCCCTTCCCCTATGTTATTTTTCATCATTCAAGAATTAATAGAAA